ATTGCCTAAAGGGGGACAAGGTTTTGTCACTGAATTCTATCATGTTTCTCACTTTCTTTACCAAAGGACTGGCACTAGGAACTTTCTTTGGGCCCATGGTGGCTTATTTTGCAGTTGCACTCGATAAACCACAAAAAACAACGGATTATAATGAAACGTTTGGATGAATGCGCAGTGTTGCTCACTCACGTAGAGGAGTGGCGGGCAGACGCATCCAATATGGCTGATTTCTGAGTTGCTGGCTCAAATCCAGGACAGAATTTCAGCCAGAAAGTGGCTGAAATCTGATTTGGCTGATATGCAGGGTTCCACTGTACCTCAATTTAACCCTTTGACTGTTTTTACCATACATATACATCTTACGAGCCAGTGTTTTTGACGTATTAATACTCCAAAATTCTAGCGGCTTCAAATCAAGCTGGAGAAAGCTGGTAGGCCCACATGTGAGAAAATGGGTCTTTGTGCACAGTATAAAAAAATTCTGCAGCACACAGTGGATAATGAGAAACAAAAACTCCGATTGTGTTTTTGGATTAAAACGCCGATTTTGATGTGTATTTTTGTATAGCATTTATGGTTATATTCTCATTTTCTTGGTCTCATTTGATAGAATGGAAGATATATTATAGAAATAGAGATGATTTCGATTGGTTTCACAATGAAAAGGACCTTGAAATTGAGCTCAAAGTAGCGGAAGTGTTCAATTTTTGCCGATGTTCAAGAGTAAACAAATAACATCACCATCCAATACGTGTCCAACTGGCCAGTCTTATACGCAGTCACGAATGGGTTGACATTATTTATTCACTTACTACAATAATGCAGTAGTCTGCATAACAGTTAATCTATTTTTTGCGTGAATAAAAATTCTATTTTTATTCACTCAGGAATGTCTACATTGTTTATTCTGTACCCTATTTTGAAATTGACATCTTTTTTAATTTGCGTGAAATTGGCCAAATTGCCAATTTCTGTCCACTTTATTGGGTAGTTGAAATCGGTAAATGGGCAGTTACTTGTACTCAGTCGATAGAACAAATGGAGCTCTAAAGAAATAACAATGAATTTGGTTGACTGGAATAATGGAATTGGCTGAAAATAGGGCTCAAAGCGGGTGAAATTGCCGATGTGTCTATATCGCCGAGATTGCTAACTTCGCAAGAGCGTAATTCCATAAGCTTTCCATCAAATTTCATACGTTTGGTGTCATTACCACCTGGAAAAGATTCTCTATCATTTCATAAGAAAACATAATTTTTTTTTTTTTTTTTTCGAATATTTTGCGTCACGGAGAGACACTTCAGGATTTGGGGTTGCGACAGTTAAAGGGTTAACAAACTAATAGCAGGAAGTGGGTGGCTGGCAATGATGAATTATTTTACTGTGATCATAACTGAAAATTCTGTAACCAGTGGTTTCTGTTTACAAATCAGTTGACCTAGTGGATTTTGTCCTGTATTTTTTGAGGTTTGTTAGCTCAAAGGTTTACTGTACCTATTCTATCCATTTGCAACATCTGCCATTTAGCTGTTCATTATGGTGAAACTGCACAATTGCATCCAATATGATTAGATAGCTGGCCCTCACTAAGTTTTTGCACTCTGGTTTTCAGACATCATTCTTGTTCTTTATTCTAATAAAAAAAATCTAGCCTTTTGCTAAAGCAAAAACCTTCCTCCTCCTTCCTTTATGTATTGCAGTGAGCTGATTGCCTTATCACTTGGATTCACACTAGTGGAAACTCAGTCAAAATGTATTTCAGTATTTTGGAGAAATGATGGGATTTTCCAGACATAGATTGGTTTGTAATCAGAAGTATTTCAAATTTCAGGTCTATGTTTCTCTTTTCCCAGACCAGTTCACAGTTGCACCAGATGCAATGCCCCTTAATCCAAGAGAGTAGTTTTCAGTTCTGCACACCTTCCCTGTGACATTATGGAAAAAGTGGTGCTGCACACATCCCTGTTATGCACTTATTGCATTCTGATTGATCAGTGGTGGCCTCTTCATATGTAGTTTCCAGCCTGATGGGTCATGGCAAGCAAGGTGATTTGTATACTATATTGCAGTACAATCACCTGTCACAGGCCTTGCTGTAGGTTCCAGTCAAAGGTCTGGAATGTTTGACTTTGGCACTTTAGGAATGGCTGTTATAAGTCTGTCCCTGCACAAAGCTGGTCTAATCAGAGGAGTTGCAGTTCATCTCTGAACATCACTGTTCTTTCACATGTCATCACTATGAATCTGTATGGAAGGCTTTCATTATTCTCTTAAATAGAGGCAACATCCTGCCTTGGGGGATTTCTCAGTCTGTGGTAGTAATGTACCTTATCAATACATTCAATACTTAGCTCTGTATCGTACAGTTTGCTGGTGATCCCATTGCTCATTTGTTGAGAATTTTTGAGAAACAAGCCCTGCAACCAGGCTCTCAGAATTCGAATTCATAGAGGGATTTGACTACTTTATAATTTAGCCTACTATAAAGCCCCTCTTCATCTTATACATTAATGGCAGATGAGAAAGAAATCAGATTAAATAGGTTAAATTATACTACTGTATTTTTGTTATGGCTCTGCTGAGCCTCCACTCTGAGGTCAGCATCAATGAACAAGTTATATGATAAAAGACCTATGTCAAATTTTTACCCCCCTGGCAAATTTTAGTACAGTCTGGCTATCAGATATACTAGTATCATGTTATTACAGTGGACCCCCGCATAACGATTACCTCCGAATGCGATCAATTATGTAAGTGTATTTATGTAAGTGCATTTGTACGTGTATGTTTGGGGGTCTGAAATGGACTAATCTACTTCACAATATTCCTTATGGGAACAAATTCGGTCAGTACTGGCACCTGAACATACTTCTGGAGTGAAAAAATATCGTTAACCGGGGGTCCACTGTAATTGGTTCCTTTGAAAATTTAAGCTACTGTACATGTAATTTGAGACATTTGGTCAATTTAATACCTAAACTATACTCTATTGCCTTTCTTTGAAAATAGTTGTTCAACTAAGATCTAATTTTCTGAGTGTTTCACATTGATTGATATTTACTAAAAAATTCTGCAGCTACTCAAGTAGAAAGTAAGATCCTAGCATGTCATTCATTTTGTTTTACCACAGATAATTTTTTTTTCTTTACTACTGATGTTCACAAGCTTTAACCTGTGTGAAAAGTATCACTTGGGAATAGAGATATATGCATGCTTAATTTCTTCAGTGTGTGATTAATTACTTAGTGTAGGTTAAAGCTAGCATTGATACATATTAAAGATTTGTTGAAAATATAGCAGGTTATTATTTAAATTTTACATGGCTGATGGTATTTAATATTCATAATTTTAGATGCATATTCATTCAATTTTGTTTTGAATATTTGATGTACTTGTGCGTGGCCACGGGAAGAAACAAAACCTGAGGTAGTCAATGCATTTTGAGTCTCTACTCTTTGGAATCTTTCATTATACTGTTAAGTATTATGTATATAACCATAGACAAGGTTTATGACACCTTCGTAGTAATAAATCTTGAGTTTAATGGGATATTTGTCTTCAAATCCACAATGAAGAGTTCTGGATATAGAGGCATAATGGTAGCTGGTATGAGTATCAAACTTCATTGTGGAGAAAAAGTTTTAATGGAGACTGCTTTGCTCAAGGTCAAGCTATTGTTAAGTCATACAGACAATACTTTTAACACCTACTTGCAGAGAGTGAGGGAAGAACAAAAAGGAATCTTGTGTCGTGTGATGGTCGTGCACTTAGCCTTCTGGTCTATTATTAGGTTTGAACTTTGTTGGAATACAGGCCAGTGATAAGTGATCATCATTGCCAACTTCAACACACCTTAAAATCATAATAGTTTTTATCAAAATCTTTACTCTACACAGGAAATTTATTTTCAGGGTATGCCACAGTTAAGGGGTTAATAACTGGCCTTTCTGCTTATGGTTTAGTATTGCCTATTTTGTTGGCTTTTCATCATCTTTGCACCTGGGCAGACTCGATTATCTTCATTGCTGTGTCCTTGCATCTGGGCAGGGGCTCATTCAGTCTAGGCTAGATAGTTCTCGGACCTTTGTTATAGGTATGGTCCTTCATATGTGCTTAGGGGGTGAGAGGCCATCATGTATGGCCAATCTGTGATGCTTACCCGTCATTTCTTGTTCTAGTGCATGGTATATCTGCTATGTCAGTGTGTCCCTGGACAAGCAGGAAGTGGTCACTGTCTAATTTCCAAAGTACCTTTGTGAGGCTTTGCTCAGGGCCTGAGAGAAAGATCCTCTCCACACTGAGACAGCAAGCTTATCAACCATTAAGGATTCCAAGTAAACCCCTAGCACCCCAGTACAAAATACGTGGTCTTGAAATATAAAACATATTTTTGTGTATAGGTCCATGGGGCCAGTGGATTCTACCACCTCCCTTTGCTGTGTACTGGAGCTCCGAGTATAGTAGGGATGGGGTTACTGACCACCACCACAGACTTGTAATGACATGCAGATGTAGGCAGTGGAGACCTACACAGTGCAAAAGTGCAAGATAAACAATACTGGGGTCTAGAGATTTGAGTATGTGGTGTGAGTGAGTGTATAACATATTCCAAGTTTTCCCAATGACATGCATAAATGTGTTTCCTGCTTTGAAAATTGTAATGTACAATACTGGATATATAATTTGACAGATCACAGATTTCATGAGAATCAGATATCAAAACACCATCCTAGAAAATGGTTAAGTAGTTAGGGGAAGCTTTTCAAAGGAGGAATTTTATATAAATATCAATGAATGAATGAAAATAAATCTCAGAAATGTAAAAATCAATTACATTATCCAGGAAAGCTCTCGGAATTTGTTTTGTTTTGTTTGTTTAAATTGCATTTTAGGTTATAATTTTTTTTGTGATTTTGTTGTATGCTTTAGATATTTTAAGATTTCTTTCAAAACAAAAAACTTTGTACTGTGTTATACTAATGATGGGTCATATTTTTCAGACACAATGGTCTGCAGTGGTTGCTGTGCAACTTTGGACCATATAGTCACTTACCTGTACAAACTTTTGCACCAGAAAAGTAAGTAAAGATTTTCTACCACCTAGACTAAGACTTGCATGTGCTACTCTGTCCTATTTCAGATACGATGGTGTGTACAGGCTGCTGTGCGACCCTTGACCACATTGTCACATACCTCTTCAAAACTTTACACCAAAAGAGTAAGTAATAACTTTTACTGTGGCTTTAATTATAAGCTCATTTTTGGTAGTGTATGTCTTGATCATAGACAGATAATGGCTAAATTTTGAGTGCTTCTATTATTTTTGTATCCTCAATCCTTATTAATTTTTACCCCAGAGAGTAGTCAAAAGATAAAGTCTTATAACTTTTTTGTAATCTTTCCAACTATATTTTGTGTATCTGAAAAATTCATTTAGTCACTCCTCTAACAGCTATGTACATTCAAAACCACCATTTTTTTATTTTTTTCATCAACCTCAGTTCAGCATTTGAGATGAAGTTAAATTGAGTGCTGAAAATCTCTGACTAGACTCACTGGAGATAATTATGCAAAAATGATGCATCATAATTTATATCTGCAAAACTGGAGGGGCTGGTTCCATATCTGTACTGAAATATTTGGAGAGTGAAGAGTCATTGTAGACAGTATAAAATAGTACAGTAGTCCTATTAACCCTTTGACTGTCCAGACCCCTGAAACGAAACTTGATCTTGGTGACCAAAAATGTTATTTTTTTCTTATGAAATGGTAGAAAATATTTTTCCGACGGTAATGGCACCAAAAATACTGTATTTGATGGAAAACTTAAGAATTTTGTAGTGTGCAAGTCACTCTCGGTACAATTTATGCACCAGTGATATTGCTGATTTTGAATCCTATTTTAAGCCAACTCCATTGTTCCAGTAGACCAAATTCTTAGCTATGTCACTATTATGCCTTCTGTTCTATCACTTGAGCACAAGAAACTTCCCATTTCAACTATCCCATAAAGTTATTTGAATTCGGGATTTGCCAATTTCACATGAAATTAAAAAAAAAAAATAAAAATAATCCATAATAAACAATGTAGATATTCCTAGCATTAAAACATTTCCTCTGTTCATTAGTTGTCTCCCCATGTCTCTCCTATATTATGCTTGCTTTACATTAACTATATTTCTCGGATAATAAAATACAACCAGGAAAGATTGGTCATGTTTTACAGCATCTCAATAATTGAATCACACCTATTAGAAGTCCATAAAACAGATTAGGGGCTGTAGGGGGGCCTTACCTGTCCTCTGGAATGTCAGCAAAAATTGAATATTTCTGCTATGTACTTTGAGCTCATTTCAAGCTTCTTAGTCCTGAAATCAGTCAAAATCATCTCTATATTAGTAAGATTTTCCATTCTATCAAATGATACCAAGAAACAGCCAGTAAAACCATAAAAACCATTTGAGAAATTACCATGTGTGGCAGGATTTTTTTTATATGGTGTGCACACATTACACAGCCTTTCTTTCATTTTTTTTTTAACATGTCAGTAGTTTCCCACTGAGGCAGGGTGACCCAAAAAGAAAGAAAAAAAACTTTCATCATTCAACACTTTCACCATCTCTCATACATAATCACTGTCTTTGCAGAGGTGCTCAGATACAACAGTTAAAATGTACTGCTCACTGTTTATCTGAGTGAGCTGAGCTCATGATGTAGGACTACGTCAGGGATCCTAGCCTTGATGACATAGTTATATGTGACAGACAGACAAAGTGTTACCCTTTTTTGCTGTCCACTTTTAAAAAACCTTCTGAAATAGTAGAGAATCTTTTTCTGAAGGTAATGACATCAGCAGTATGAAATTTAATAGAAAATTTACCAAATTACACAGGCACGAAGTTAGTAGTCTGGGTGCAATTTACTCATCAGTGATTTTGCCCACTTTGAACTTTGTGTTAAGTCAGTTTCATTACTCCTTTTGATCCAGTTCTTAGCCATATCACTAGTATACCTTACGTTCTTTGATTGTCACACTGGTGCAGTGAGAGAGGATGGTAAGTGTGGCAGGAAGATTCTGGGACAATCAAAGAAACGTGTAGTAACCTGTAGAAGTTACCAGATTTCATTCCATCTCTCTCTGTGTTAGATGCAGTGTTGAGGACGAGCCTCAAAGAAGCAAAGTGATCTGTTTTTGCATTAGTGTACTGCTTAATCAAAAACTTAAGATAATGTAAAGTTACACTTCTGTGTGGTGTACGGTGTGGTATGACCAAATTTTTATTCTGAAAGTGTGGCACAAAGAAAAAGTTTGGAAACCAATGGATTACAAAAACTGCCCATTAAACTATCAGAGCTACCCTATAAGTGCACAGAAGTTGACAGTTTTGCCAATTTTACACAACTTAAAAAATTCCAATTTAAAAATAGTCCGAAATGAGGAGTGTAGACATTCTAGGCACAAAAACATTTTTCTCTGTCAAGGTTAAGAATTCCTAGCTTTATTGACAGGCTATTTACTAGTTAAGGATTCCTAACTTTATTGACAAGCTAAGAGCTGTTACCTACATCAGCTCATTTAAAGCATTTTTATAGTTATGAGACATACAAGTAGGGAACAGGATGAAATTGGAGCCATCTGTGGGCCAGCATTTTCATTGATCAACTGACTTTATTTCGTTGACATCATAATGCTGTACGAATGTGTTCCATACTCGAGTCATCCTGGGGATAAATGATCTCAAATGAAGCGATGTTCTGGAGAAGGGTACAGCCAGAGTGAAGTTGCTGCTTTCTGCCCGTCTTGTGGTATAGAAGCTTGCTTCACGCTGTCCTCGAAGAAGTGGACCCAAGTCTGATACTTTGACAATATTGGCCTTGTACATAACAGTAAGGCCACCCACATCCCTCCTGTGTAGAAGGCTCTGCTGAAATGACAGATCTATCCAGGATTGGTCCAGGTGAGAGATGAGACATCTTGCTCTGTTCTCTACTGTCAAGCAGTCACAGATGAAAGTGGGGGCAGGCAGACCAAGAAAGTGGAGCATACTCAAGGTGTGAGCGTACTTGAGCCTCATACAGAATCTTGCAACCCCTACTGTCAAGCAGATGCGAGATACGGCGAAGTGCTGTGAGCTTCCTGGCTGCCTTGTTTGCAAGATTTACAACGTGGTTCTTCATGGTCATTTTGGAGTCAAATTTCACCCCAAGGATATCAACTTCTTCCCCAGGTGCCAGCATCTTCCCATTTATCCTTACTACTGCATCAGCATTACCATCATGGTGCCTAGAGACCATCATCATTTGTGTTTTCTCAGGTACAAATGTTACTTGCCATCTATTTCCCCAAGCTGGTATAGCTCTTAGCTGGTGATTGATGTAGCTTAGAGCAGCTGGCATTTCTTCTCTTGGATAGGTGAATGTCAATGTACAGTCATCTGCATATGCATGGGATTCTGGGATGAGATGAAGGTCATTGAAGTAGACATTACATAACAATGGGCCCAGCATGCTTCCTTGTGGAATACTTGCACCAGTAGAATGTCTTGCTGATTCTGTTCCATTGAGATCTACCATGAAGGTAATAACTGAGGAGACATAGCGTAGACCCTGCAGTTCCCAGAGCTTGCAGTTTTGTTAAGAAGCCCTGGTGCCACACCCACTCGAAAGTGCCAGCAATGTCCAGTTCTACCACACATCTGACTTTGGATTCATCCAGTGACTGGTGCCACTTAGTGGAGAAGTTTAACAACAGGGCAGCAGCAGAGTAACCTTTCCTGAAGCCATATTCATGGTCACAAAGTAGTAAGTGGTAGTCAAAAAACTCTGTCATTTGTCTTGAGATTATTGTCTCAAGGATCTTGCCAGTGATTGACAGGAGTGACACTGGTCTGTAGTTGCTGATTTCTGCTCTGCTCTTCTTTTTGTGAACAGGGACTACATTTGCCTCTTTCCTCAGAGAAGGCCATTACACTGTACTAGGCAGTGCTGAAAGATGCGAGTTAGAGGTGCTGATAGTTGGTCTGTACATCTTCTCAGCAATCTTGGGCTCAATTTGCCTGGGCCCGCAGCCTATTCTTGGTCAAGCGATTTAAGAAGGAAATGCACCTCCTCCTGCCTTATTGTCACCACTGACAGTTTTGACAGTTCTTGCGGCTAGCCAAGGAGGGTCCCTTGCTGGATCAGGAACTTGCATTTTGGTAGCAAAGTGTTTGGCAAAGAGGTCCATTTTCTCTTGACTACTAGTAGAGGTGGTCCCATCCTGTCGATTTAGAGGTGGAATAAGTTCATCAGGCAGATAACCTTGTCTGTCCTTGACCAGGGACCACCAGGTTTTGGAGCCTACCCTACCTGATGCTAACTTTCTTTTAGTGTCCACCTCCCATTTAGCAATGGCCCACTTTTGAACATCACCCATATGCCTACAGGCTTGCATGTGCAAGTTCCTGTTATAGGTGGTAGGATGTCTCTTATACCTTCGCCATGCTTTGTACTTAGCAGTAGCAGCCTCTCTACAACGAAAGCCAAACCAAGGCTGATCTGTAGGCTTCGTCACATATTGCCGGTGAGGAATGTGTCCTTGTTGTAGATTAAGGATGTGTCCAGTGAAGGCTTTCACTTGGTTGTCAACATCCCCTTGGAGAAGAGCATTCCAGTCGGTGGTGGCGAGCTCAGAGCAAAGGGCTGGCCAGTTACCTCTTTCCCAAAGCCAGGTTGTGCGTGTGGACTCCTCACCTCGTTCTGTTGGGATCTTAAGTGTGGTAAAACAGCCTTGTGGTCAGACGATCCAACGTAGCTGAGGGGTTGACAAGTGACTATGCCTTCTGCCAGATCACTCACTACTGGGTCAAGGGAGGAGCCAGAGATATGAGTAGGGAAATCAACAAAGTTTCTCATGTCAAACACTGCAAGAAGGTCATCAAAGTCCCTCTGTATAAGGTGCTGGTTGAGGTCACCAACAATTATAATATGTTGACAGTTGTGTTGTAGCAGAAGGGAGTCAATATTTTCATTAGGAAGTTGATAGGGTCTGCATGTTGCCACTGAGGTCTGTACATTGCACATGCTAGTACAGAGGTAC